AAAAAAAAAAAAAAAAAAGACATACATGAGGCCAGTTTCGTGTACAGCCAGCAACCTCTGCACCATCATCACCTCGTCAGCACCCTTATTGAGGATCTGTTCTACGACTGGAAAAATGACACTGAAATAGAGAGGCCAACCACGGGCGCACTGGATAACGGCCAGTTTCACATCCACGGCCACTTGCTGAGGGAAGTCCAGCGCTGCTGGTGGAATGCGATTTGTCCCTGTAAATTGATGCACGCCAATTGTAAAGTCAAATTCAGCTACGGCAAGTGATTACTGATGATCGTTTTTTGAAGAGAAATTGACTTTATGCTCGGTAACACGTATGTGATTTATACAAATCTAGGGAGACGACTTCTTGTTTTATGCTTAGCAGGCGAGAAAATCTTGGGAATATTTATAGGGAGGGGAGAAATTAGCAAAAGGGCATAAAATACAGTTAATTATCTGCAAAAATTTAGCCACAACCAACTAGAGAATTGGCAAAATGAGTTAAGCAGTTGTAAGGAAAGAAGCAATTTTCGCGAAATAACTCAAATTTTAACACATTTATTAAGCTATTTTACTTTAATGAAAAATATCAGATCAAAAACCTACGTAGAATTTGACTCACAGCATCGCGTTCAAAATTGCGAATTCGATAAGCATTTGGTTTGCGACAATCAGCGATGATCTGTGCAAAGATTAGATCGATTTCCATCTCATCTTCCAGCTGCTCTTGGGGATAGAAGATCTGCAACAAAGCAGTTCTCGAAGACTTCGATCAGTCAGTGGCAGTTTTATAATGCGATAGGAATAAGAGTAATAATTTTCAAAATCCACACATTATTAAAGTAGTTATTATTTTTTCCTTGGTATTATCATTATTAATACTAATATTTCCTTCACCATTATTATTACTAGTACCATTATTTTTAGAGCTAAATGTCTGCATGTTTAATGTGATCACACATATGCTGCTCTTGACCAGGATCAACGAAAGCTTGGCTCAAACAAAGTAAATAATTTATATTAGCCTAATCGCCGCAAATTTCTTAACTTTTTTTTTGGATTTGAGTCCACCCGTTAGTAGATTTCGGAACATAACTCGTTTCAGAAAAAACACAGATAATCCATACATTTTGAATAAATTTAAATTAAAAATGTCAAATATGAAAATGTTGCCTCTTTGCGAATCATGAT